CATATTCCCAACTGAACAGTATGACACGGCCCCGCGTCGCTTCGTTATACACGATGCCCCGCGATTCGTGTCACCTTTATCAGCCATCGCCCAACTATGAGTATCTGACTGACCAACACCGCGTGTCATACGCTACGGTGCAAAGTCCAATAAGTGCCGAACGGCCGACGACCAACCCAACCCAACGGCACGCCGCAAACGAGACAGGAGTCTTCTTCCCGTTGTGAAAGTGACAACGTTGATGAACCGATCCGCACCCACGTACCGTCGCCATTAACGCTGCTAACCTTTTGTCGCCCGAGGATCACACCGGAAAGTTCCGCGATATTATGCGTAGATTATTATTATTGTGTTCATCTTTTCGGTTTGTTTTTTTTTGTTAAAATAACCTGTTGTTGCTCATTAATAAATTGTCCCACGGGTTCTACCCTCAAAACCAGTGTTGACCAGTGACCACATTTTTGAGACGTAAGGCGTGTTAAGTAATATTACTTAATCAAAAACTCATTTTAAATATAGCAAAAATAATATTTTTATCTCTAATCAGATCATATTTGACAAGCTGTATCTGCTTTACTTTTTTGATCAAGATGGATATTATAATTTTTTTTATGTAATATCATAACTGTACATGGTAATGATTAATTAGACAACTTAATTATAATTAATAATCAATGAGTTTTGAGGTGTTTTATTTATTAATAATTATTAATAAATAACACACCCCAAAACTCATCCAACCACCTATTAGTAATTTTATTATGACATTATAGATAATTTTGATCGGTACCATTGCTTCAGATTTTTTTATTTTTTGATATAGTTAAAAATAAATACAAGATACGAGTTATATAACCTTGGTTTATAATCTTAATATGAAAGGAAAACGGAGGATATATGGATTTAATTACAACGAGTTATATGAGAAGTGTAAATGAGAGACAGTGGCGAGAGCAGCCCAAATTATTGGAAAAGATTGTGAGGTAAAATAAACATGAATTTTAGGGTTGTTATTACTAAAAAAGACGAAAGACTAATAACTTATTTTGGGGAAGGAACTGGTTAAATGGTATACTATTCCTAAAAGGATAGTAGTATTACTATTATGATCTATAAATAAATAATAAATATCTAAAACAGAAGTCGGCAACCCGCGACCATTAATGAAAATAGCATTAATGAAAGAATATAACATGAGAGTGACACATAAATCAAGTTTTAAAAATATCATTGGTGATTTAAGAAAAATAAAAATTAATCATTTTAAATCTTTGTTAAATAGCCAATAAAATATTTTTAAAAAACAAATTAGTAAAAATAAATTGATAGTGCGGGTAAGTTATGTAAATTCACAAATTATATCGAAAAATAATCGTCCCTTCACTAATGCTGAGTTCATTAAAAAAACTATGCTTGCTGTTGTTGACGAAATCTGCCCAGATAAAAAAAAAGACTTTGAAGACATTAGCCTTTCTGCTAGGACTTGTGTAAGTAGAACTGCAGAATTAGGAAATAATTTAATGCAACAATTCAAAGAAAAAATGAATTCGTTTTTTTTCACTCGCGATGGTTGAAAGTACGTGATAATGTATGTGATACAGCTCAACTTTTAATTTATATTCGAGGAATTGATGATAATTTTAATGTTTACGAAGAACTTGCCGATCTTTGTAGTTTAAAAGGGATTAACCACAAAAGAAGATCTGTTCGAAAGTATTGATAAATTACTAGACAATTTAGGATTAGAGAGGATACAATTAGTAAGTATATAACAGATGGTGGAAAAAACATGAGTGGTCCATATAAAGGTGTAGTAGGAAGAATGAAGAAAAAAATGTTAGAAAACGATTATGAAATTCCTATGAATTTTCATTGTACAATTCACCAAGAAGCATTGTGTTGTAAAGTTTTTGCGTTATGAGTGTTGTTATTTCCTCAATAAATTTTATTCGAAAATTGGACTTCAACATTTTCTGACTGAAATTGAATAGGAATATCGTGACGTTATATATTTTACAGAAGTCAGATGGTTGAGTAGAGGTGCGGAACTTAAAAAATTTTTTTATGTACGATATGAAATAAAAATGTTTATGAATGAAAAAAATAAAATCATTTCTGAACTATCAGATGAATCATGGATCTCAAACTGGCATTTTTAAGAGATATAATAACATTTTTGAATGAATTGAATATAAAATTACAAGGGAAAGGAAAATTACTCTCAGATATGTATACTGATATTAAGTCGTTTCAAGTTTTTAATGTGCCTCTTGATGATTATTTGAAAAAAATATGGCCTGCGTGGTTCAAAAGGTTGCCGACCCTTGATCTAAAAAATTAATACTATAAAATAGCAATTAATTTTCTGTATATGAGATTTATTGTTATATTTATTTCCACGCGACTAGTCTGAAATATCAAATGCAATCAATAAGCCTTTTAAATTTTTTTGCATTTTCATAATTTTATTTTCTTTATAAGCCTTCTTTTATCATTTTGATAGTACAAAATTTGTCTAGTAATTTACTGGTTATAATTAATATAAACGAATAATCGAAAAAACTCATCGATATTAATATTTAACAGTTTTAAAACTCTTGAAATTGTTCAAAATATGCTTCTAAAATTACAAATTAATTTAATTTTATTTGTCAACAAAAATAAAAAGGAACTAAGAACATTGAATAATTGTTAATTATCTTTAATTATTACACTTAAAATTATTTAATCAATATAGTATCTTTGATGTAAAATAAAAAACCCAGCACAGGGGGGTCGCGGCACAGTGGTGACATGGCATAGTTGGATCAAGTATAATAATATCTGACAGTGATTAAAATCACTATCAAAAAAAAAAAGACTCTTCGATACAAATCTTTAGATAGTGTTTAATTTTAAAAAATTGGTGGATTATTCCAAAAGCTTCATAAACTGCTAGTTCCTTATTAATATCCTGATTAAGATAAAGTATGTCGAATGAAAAAGGGATTATTAAAAAATAGTATTTCCCATAAAAAAATTATATTGATCAATACACTTTTCAATAAGTTATAGCATTATAAAGTTAAAAATGTAAAAAATAAAATTGAGAATTTTCACAAAATAAAGTCCGACATTTTTTTTTTACATAATAAAGTAGATTACATTAGCTTTAATTTAATATATATAGAAAAGTGTCAGACTTTCCAGAACACTTTCAAAATTTAAGTTGAAAAAGTCAATTTTTTGTGAAAAAATTGTCATTTTGAATCCCCCCCTGTAGGCAGGTAAAAAGTCAGATTTATAAAAAAAATATACCAAATGATAGGTAATGACATCATGCATCTACAAAAAAAAGAATTATATTGATCCATANAAATGATAGGTAAAGACATTATGCATCTAAAAAAAAAAAGAATTATATTGATCCATACATCTTTTAAAAAGTTATAGCATTATAAAGTTAAAAATATAAAAAAGAATTTTTTTACAAAAATCGTATTTTTTTTATTAAGTTTAATGTCTGTTTTCACAATGAAGATAAAATAAAGTACGAAATTTTTTTTACAATAATAAAAAAGTATATTACATTAGCTTTAATTTAAGATATATATAAAAGTGTCAGAATTTCCTGAACACTTTCAAAAGTTAAGTTGAAAAAGTTAATTTTTTGTAAAAAAGTTGTCATTTTAAATCCCCCCCTGTGGGCAGGTAAAAAGTTAGATTTATAAAAAAAAAATACCAAATGATAGGTAATGACATCATGCATCTATAAAAAAAAGAATTATATTGATATGTTTATTTTTAAAAAAGTTACGGCAGTTTTTAGTAAAAAAAATTGAAAAAATTGAAAAAATTAGCCATTTTTAAATTTGTAATTTTTTTGGAGGTTTCCCCCATTTACGGGGAACGAGGAATTTTTTTTCAACTTTTGAGGGTAATGTCTTCGACTAGATACGATTTGTGATCTTTTGACGTATCATTGAAAGAATTCGGTTCGGTGAGAGCTGAGAAAAAGTGGTAACAGACACAAAAAAAAAAAAATAAAAATAAAAAAAAACACATCTTAGTAAAACCAATACCTTCTCAGATTCGCATCGAAGCTAAAAGTTATCATGATAAAAATAGTAAAAATCTTAAAGAGTTACAAGTTGGGGATAATGTGTTATTTAAGACAGACTATAACATAAAAAAATGGGTGCGAGAGAAAGTAGTAGATTTAGCCAGTACTCCGAGGTCTTTTATTGTGGCGGGAGAAGATGGAGTGAGGTACCGTAGGACGAGAGAACTCTTAATACTAAAACAGGGGTTAATATGGGGAAATGAAAACAATTTATCCTATAATAATAAGAGTATTGAAATTAAAAATAATGATAAACCTCGGGAACGCAAACTTCGTCCTCGTGAGAAGCTATGTCGACCTAAACGATATACATAATATTTTAAATTAATATATGTTTAATTTTATGT